GAGAAAAAAGAGCAAGCAGATTCCTTATATAAAAATACAGTCTGGTGTAAGCCACATCTACTTCACAAGAAATGATTTTTTTTTTTCCAATTCTTCCCTCAAAAATCTTAGGCAACCCACACAACCCACATCACAGCCCACATCAACAAAGACTTTGTTCTTAATTCGGGCGAATGCACAGTACTGCCAATCTTCACCTGTGCGATCACTGGTCCATCAAGTGAACAACTCAGAGGGGTGTCCATACCAGGCACTGCCATGTTCCTCTCTATACTGACTGAAGGCTAGTGGATGCACATTAAGTTTTCCTGCGGCTACCACTAAGAAAGCAAATACCCAACTAGGCGTCTCAGCTTGAAGCTCTGACATTAAGGAAGCTTCTGGGTAATATGCATAACCCTGGGTTCTTCAGCTCCTGCATTGACCCCAGGTCTGTCTGCAAACATCCAGCTCCCGCGCCGACCCCAAGTCCGTCTGCAAACGCCCAGCCTGCACTGACTCCAGGTCTGTGTGCAAACGTTCAACTCCCAAACTGACTCCAGGTCTGTGTGCAAAGGTCCAGCTCCCACACTGATCCTAGGTCTGCCCCGCACGCGCCGGCTCCCGCTCTGATCTTGGGTCTGCCCCGCACGCGCTCAGTTCCCACCCCGACCTTCCCCGCGCGGCCGCCCCGCACTCTCCCGTCAAGGGCACCGGCGGCTGGGCGCTCGGTACCTGCGCGGCGTGTTCAGCAGCCGCTGCTGCTCGTCACCCTCGTCCTGGTCTTCGTCTGTCTCCGAGTCAGGGTGGCAGTAGCAGAATGCGCCGCTGCTGCGCTTGCGCTTGCGGCCGCCCGGACAATAACAGAAGCCTTGGGCCGCATCCTCGCCAGCATCTGACCTGCGGGCCGCGCCCCCAGAACCGGGCGTAGGTTCGGGTTGATCTGCGCGACCCGCGGGCCGCAGCACCCGGCTGCTTAGCGCGCCCATGGCTCCAGCGCCTAGGGAGCGCCAAGGGGCCACTCTGCCATGCCTGACGCCCCACCGTCTACTCGGCCGCCGCCTCGCGCACAGCCCCAACCGTCACTGAGAACGCAGTCATCTCCATCCTCTGCCCCGCCCGCAGCGCCCCAGCCGGCCAGCTCCTTAAAGCCTCGCCCCCTCGTTCTAGCGACAAAGCGCGCGCCGTAAGGCGCATGTGTGCGGCGAGCCCCCGGAAGAGAAGCAGCTAATCTCGAGGGTGGAGCCTGCTCGGCACGGTCGCGCGTGCGCAGGCGTCGGGCTCAGCCCGGGTAAGGACGAAACTTTAGTGCTTCCGGAATTAACCGAGGGGCGTGAACGCTGTGTGCTTTTGCACGAAGGACCTGGGGACTCTTGTCGTTGATTCTTCCCGCAGGGCTCCTTGAGTCCGAAGGCTTCTCCAGCTCTGTGCAGTCAGTTTGTGGACGGACAGGTCATCAAGGCCTTTACTTCCTTTCCGGGTTCTGGGGCCAGGCTGTCTACTGCTAGGCGGCCTTTACCCAACGTTGTTGACAGACTTCAGTCTGGAACCGCAGCCATCCTCCAGTTCTGGCTCCTTTCTTCTGCCTTGTTTTGATTTGATTATTTTGTTGTGTCAGAATCTTGTATTACATGCTAACATTTGACTTTCTATATAGAATGATCTTGAACTTCTGATCTCCTGTGTCCACCTCTTGAATGCAGGTACATGTCACATCACCGCCTATTCGATTCCTGGGGAATCCGACCCAGAGCTTCATGAATGCTAAGCGAGCACTACCAATTCAGCTACATCCTAGCCTCCGAATTTTTATTTTATTTATTTATATTTTTTTAGGAAGGTTCTCACTCCAAGGCTGGCCTGGAACTCGTAGCACTCCTCCTGCCTCAGCCTCTGAGTGCAGGGAGTTAAGGTGTGAGCACCATTCTATACTTTTCAAACTAAAATATTTATAGGGAAATGTTTCAAATAGAGCCATACAAATGCCCACTATGAGCTTAAAAATTTATTACACTTATTTTGATCCGTTTTCCTTACCCCCTCATCTTTATTGAGATATAACAGAGAATGATAAAAATATGAGAAAACCCCTTCATGTACCCACCCTTTGCCATTTCAGTGCATGTCTTTACATGCATAACCATAGACGCTCTTTTCTGCTGCACATTCAGACATATAATTTAAATGGAATCAGACCTTCCCAAACCCATGATTCAGAACCTTTCTCCTCTCTTATAATTAACTATACTTTGGATTAGATCTTTAGTTATTGTTACCACTCATTGTAAGACCCATGATTTACATGCTTCCTCGTGGGGGTGGGGGCTTCAGTTATTTCTCCTTTAATGCTCTTTCAGAACAGACATGAACATTATGCACAAAAGTTTCATCAAACAGATCCCAGAAACAGATTTCTGGGAAATTTTCAACTCTACAGGGTCTTGCCAATTTTCCCCCAGAACTCCCTTTTGGCAGTGTCTGTACTTAGGAGGCCACTGAGGACTTGTGCTCCATTCATCCCTGAAAATTTCTGAGGCCACTCAGCTGAGGCAGGTCAAAGTAAAAGTTGGAGAAAGAGAATGGTGACTACAAGGGAATACACTGGCATGAACAAAATGCAAAACATGTACATAAGGTCATCCCAAATATTGTCCAGGAGGCCTTGGTGTATGGGCAAGTAGACTAACATGGTGACTCCAAGTGTCACTAAATTCTAAGATGGTAAAACAGAACCATATTGGTCCTTTGGATTACTGAGATGACCCATGGGAATGTCCCTAAGAACCTACCACAGTTACACAGGACTTCCACCCACAGAACAATGGCAGTCAGGCAAGAAGTTATCTAGTTCCCTCTGCTCCTTCCCTGCTGTTACAACCCAAGCAGGAATGATGGAGAAAGAAGAGAAGCAGCCGACCACCTCCCCTCCCCAAGCCAGCTTCCCACCAGCAGCAGGCCAGAACAGACCAAGGGAAGAAATTTCAAATTGCACTTGGAATTTTGACTTATTATGTTGGTGACTGAAATGACATTGTTTTGGGACCTTAAGGAGCTACACAGTAGGACTTCTGAAAAGCTAACCATGAACAGAAAAATTGTGACTTTTTACCCTCCCTCTGAATTTACACTTCAAGACAAGAAAAATCAGTTCACTGAACTCACTCAGCCACAAAGCACTTTACCAACCTTTGAAATTTGTTTTTAAAATTCTAGCTAAGATGTCATTTAAAGGTAAAACCAAGACAAAGAACCTCATAATGCTTTCAAAACATAATGAAGTTGGGGTAGAGATTCCACAGTCCTGAGGTGGTAGCGTTGATTCCTGAATCTGTGTTAATTGGAATGACTGGTCGTGTAGGTATGTTGTCAGTGATCCCCACACCAAAGTGCAGTCCCCATTGCAGAAGGAACAAAGGGATTTGTGTGTGTGTGTTCTTTATACGACTATAACTTTTGTCCTTTGTAGTGCTATTAAAAGCAAGGTATAGCTTTATCCCACGGAGCTACATCTCTGTCCTTAAATGTAACATTTACTATAAGTGCTCCACTGACATAGTATCACTCAGAGAGCAAGCTACCATGTTGTTAAATATCATTGAGTAATTTTGACATACATAAATGTTAACGATTTTGTTTGTTTTTGTTTTGGTGTGAGAGAAGGGTGCATTCCTTTTTCTCACCACCATGTGGGTTCTGGGGATTGAACTCCGATGGTCAGCCTTGGTTGTTAGGGTTCGAAACAAGGGCCTTTACCCATTAGGCTATCTTAATGTCATCATTATTTATTTATTTGGGTGTGTTTGTGTGTGTGTTTGAGAGTGGCTGTGTGTGCCCATGTGGAAACCAGAAGTTGTTATCAGTGTCTTACTCTCTACATCCACCTCCTCCTCAGACACAGAGTTTTCACTGAACCTGAAGTTTATTGACTCATCTATAAGGGCTGCCCACTGATCCATTGGGTTGCCCACATTCCAGCTTTGGAGCTACAGGCATACATCCTTTGGCTGTTCCTGCCCTTCACATTGGTGCCAGGGATCCAAACACTGCTCTCATGCTTGGGCATCAAGCATATTACTCACTGAGTCATTTCTTCAGACTTTAGTTTGCTTTTTTGAGACAGGGACTCATGTGCTCAGGCTGGCTTCACACTGGCTATGTAGCTAGGGAGAGCCTGAAGTTTTGATCCTCTTGCTTCTACCTCCCCAGTGTAAACATTGGTCTTACAGAAACCAAATAGAGAAAGAATACACATGCCTTTAAAGTCACCATTTTTAATAAAAAAAATTATCATGTTGTATATAACCCAAACTTCCAAACATGTAGCACCATTTCTGAATGATTATAAGATCAAAAAGGCACAATGGGAATCAAATCAACAATCTAAAGAGATTAATTTTAGCAGAAAAAAATTCATTAGGTCAGCTACAATCCAGAGCATCATGTCCCAGAACAACCTCAGTTAAACCTTACTCTTTCCCATCACTTTGGAGCAAGATTAGGACAGTAACCCTAAGACTGTGGAATGCTTAGTGTGTGTGATGAACAGACACATGAGCTCTGTTTAACCACGCTTGAAATTGAACTTGTTTGATGAGTTGGTGACTTTGCTACACTTCAATGCAGGAGATGAAGCCTGCCATACCAAACGCAATAACTATCAGCTACCTTGATAGACAAAGCCAAAGAAAGGAGGCTCATGAGAAGTTCAGACTACGGCTGTGTAAAATAGGAAACCGGATGGAAATTCTTAGTAGCAGATGCCAGTGTCCCTCATGAAGAAATGACTGGCTTTCCAGAGAAGAGAACCACTTCTGTCCCATAAAATTCTTACTGAAAAGAAAACCCCAAAGGATTTAGTGCATTCAATCCTTGCAAAACATGCACGAGGAAATAATCTGTTCAAGACGTGGAGGACATTTTAATTTCTAATTCTAAATCTCCATTTAGGTCTTTAAAACTTTGAAAGAACTAGTTTAAAGCATCAAAATGATTAATTATAAACGATAATAACACAGGCTGGATCAAAGGAGGCAACTGGAGGCGTTTTAATTGGAAATAAGCATTTGAGATCATGTTAATAGCAGTGCAGAAAAATGAAGTTAAAAAAAAAAAAAAGCCATCGTTAAGAAGCCTTCTGTCCTGCATCTTGTTTTAATCATCTCCTCCACAAAGAATAAGCAGAACCTTCCTGTAGTCTCCAGAAGTGTCACCCTGGGAGAAAGGAGAGCACGGTTACCAGCAGTTACATGCTTCATGCTTCTGATGGTTACATAGTTCAAAATCACCTAAGTTCATTTGCAAGCTTGGCTAGAGTTTTCTTAGGTCCTTTTAAAAAAAACTTTTTTTATTTCAAATGTAATACTTCGGGCTGGAAAGATGGCTTGGGAACTAAGAGCATTTCTTCATTTCTTGTTCTCACAGAGAACCTGAGTTTGGTGTTTGGTGCTCACAGTTCTGTATAACCACAGATCCAATGGAACCTGGCACCTTCCTCTAGTCTCTTTGGTCACTGCACACATGAGGCATATACATACATACACACATACACACACATTTAAAACATATATACAGATATACATAAATAACAATCTTTTAAAAGTAAAAGCAATATTTGTTCTGTGTCTTTAAAAAAGCACTTAAAAGAAGAGCATAGGAACATCCATAATCCCATGATTAATTATATTCTGACATATCCCCAAGCTTTTCTCTGTGCATGTAGATCTCTATGTTATGAGGTTGTAAAGTAATTATCTATGCCTCTATTTTACTCTTTTTATTTTTGGTGGTGCCAGGGACTGAACTCATGGCCATCCTCATTCTAAGCAAGTGTAGGCAATGAACCATACACTCAACCTCACTATCCTGATTTTTCTTTTATATATATATATATATATATATATATATATATATATATATATTCTTATTTTACATATCGATCCCAGTTCCCTGTCCCTCCCTCCCTGCTATGACCCCTGATCCCCCAAGTTTTCTTATTACAATATTATTTAATGATTACAGAACATTTCCCACCCCATTGTCAGATGCTTATGTGGCCTCTGATGTTTCATTTTAGCAAACTTTGCTGTATAAAGCACCTTGAAGCTGAGTTTTTATGAATTTTCCCCATAATTTGCTTTGGATACTTTTCATAAAATGAAAATTACTAGATTAAAATGGTAGATTTTTTCTAATACTTTTCATATCATTGCAAAATAGCCTTCCAGAGAGGTCCTATAATTTCTACATGCAAATGTTTATGACCTAATAAATACATTGTGGTTTTCCTATTTATTTATGTTTTTGCCACTGGGGATTAAACCCAGGGCCTTGTGTACACACTAAACAAGGAATACCCTAAGCCCAATAAATCAGTTTGGGTTACTTCTTAATGGGCACTAAAACAGATATGGCCTCTGACTTTAAGAGTTCAAATTAAAAAAAAAGAGTTCAAATTTTAATATCTGTCAAAATGAAGTGGTATATTATTAATTTGTCCCATTACCTGTGAAAGAGTAAGTATGTAGTAAAGTTGCTTACTGACAGGACTTTTGCCATTGTCTTCTTATGGGTCTGTCCTAGTTAGGTTTCCATTGCTATGATAAAGACTGTGATCAAAGCAACTTGGGGATGAAAGGGTCTACTTGGCATATATACCCCAGGTCATAGTTCAGTGAGGGACACCAAGGCAGAACTCAAGGCAGGAACCTAGAGGCAGGAACTGAAGCAGAGGCCAAGGAGGATGCTTCTTGCTGCTTTGCTCCCCTATAGCTGGCTAAACCTGCTTTCTTATGCACCCCAGGCCCACAGTGAACTAGTATCTCCCACATCAATTATTGAAGAAAATGCCCCACAGGCTTGCATGCCTATTGGTCAATCAGGTAGGGGCATTTTCTCAGCTGAGGTTTCCTATTCTCAGATAACTCTAGTTCATGTCAAGTTGACAACTAACCAACACAGGCAGGAGTTCCAAAGCTTTGTGACAATTTATTCTCTCCCTCTCCTCCCACCCCCAACTGTGTGTGTGTGTGTGTGTGTGTGTGTGTGTGTGTGTGTGTTATAAGTCAGAGGCTGATATCAGGTGTCTCCTATCACTCTATACATTATTGAGACAAGGTATCTATCTCATTGAACCTGGAGCTCACCAACCAGTGGGCCTCAGAGATGCTCTGGTCTCTGCCTTTGCCTGCACTAGGGTACTTGCTGTTATCCCTTTTAGGTGGATGCTGGGGAACCAAACTCAGGTCCTCATGCTTATATAGCAAGCATTGTGCCCACTGAGCCATCCACCCCAGCCCTATGTCCCCATGCCTGACACTCTTTCTTCCTAGCAGCAGCTCTCAAATGATCAGTGTATTCCCTACTTTTTGGGATATTTAATCCACAGGTCAAATCTTGATGTGAAGTTTGCAACCCAAGCTTCTCAGAAATTAGTCTCAGCTTCGTGTTTACAAGACTCTTCGGGCTTCTTAAAGAAGCAAAGGAGTTAATGAAGGGTTGTGAGGGGTGAGTCAGCTTTCACCACACCCACGCCATCTTAGAACTCCTGGCTGTCTGGTACCAAGTAAAGAACAGTAAACATGTGAGGTTGGGAGCGGGGAATACTTTCTCACATTTCCAGCAGACCCTGCAAAGAATTCTAGGTTCAGCTGCTTCTGCTGTCATTACCAAGCAGATGAGGAAGTTGTACTCTTAAAAGTCTTCATTAAGAGTTGAGAATGTAGTTCAGTGATACAGAACCTAAAGCCCCGAGTTCAGTCCTCAGCATGCACTTATGCGCGTGCACACACACACACACACACACACACACACACACACACACACACACACACGTGCGCACATACAAGTATTCATTCAATTTTGATATTCAGAGGAAGAATGAGGAACCACAAGTGACTGCAATTGCTGTATACAAGAATCTAAGGAGAAGTATTCACCCTGGGGAATAGGCACTGTCCGCCTCACGGGTCACAGAACTTAGTGCTGTGGAGAAGAGGGTTTCGCATGAGAATACATGACCAACAGTAAGCACCTTCACATTCATTACAAGCATCTTGTGTGAGAAACATGTAGACTATAGGAATTTGTGATGGGCTATTTAATGAGAAATGTTCCCACAGGCTAATGTGTTTAAAATCTTGGTCTCTAAGTTTTTGGAGAGGTCATGGAATCTTTAGGAGTTGCCTTGCTGGAGGAAGTATGTCACTGAGGGCAGGCTTGGAGGTTTTACAGCCTCACTCTACTTGCTGTTCACTCTGTTTTCAGTGTGCAGATAAAAAGTGAGCAACCAGCTTCCTGCTCCTTTGGCCTACTCCCAGGCCTTCCCATCTCTGGAACTATAAACCAAAATAAGCTATGCCTTCCTTAAGCTGCTTTTGGTGTTTTCACAGCAATGAAAAGTAAATGATAGCATACATTTTTTTTGTTTTGTTTTGATTTTTTGAGACAGGGTCTCTCTGTATTGCTTTGGAACCTGTCCTGGAACTAGCTCTGTAGACCAGGCTGGCCTCACAGAGATCCTTCTGCCTCTGTGTGCCACCAATGCCTGGCTGAGCATACAATTTTTGTCCAATTTATTTCCCCATTTATTGGGTGCCTTTACGGCAGGCAGGTGGCAGATCTTGGAGGGAAGAAACAGAGAAACAAAGTAATTGAGGGCTCAAATAATGGGGTGTTACAGACATAGGTTTTACTATCTCAAAGGCCCTAAAGTTTGCAATATCAGATACTGGGATAAATTATGTGAGGTTATTACTAACACACATTTTTTTCTTTTATTTTTTATTTTCTGTGTCTGGGTAATTTGGATATATATATGCACTACATGTATGCAGTACCCATGAAGGCTAGAAGAGGTAGAAGAGGGTGTCAGATTTCTAGAACTAGAGTTGCAGGTGGTTGTAAGGTGTCATGTGAGTGCCGGGAATGGAACTGAGGTCCCTTGAAAGAGCAGTCAGTTTTCTTAACTGCTTAGCCTTTAACTCCAGCCCCTAGGATTCTAACCTTTGGGTAGAAGGATATTTGAGACTGAGGTCTGGGGTGATGCTCTTCCTCCATGCTCTCTGTTCACTTGAACAGGTCAATTCCTTAAAATGTTAGGGCTTGTTATACTACATTATTTTTATTCAAAGCAGTTCGGAAGCACTGCCCCAGAATTTCCATTCTTGTTTGGGACCACATAACCTTATTACTGTGTTTAGAAGGTGTTGTACACCATGAGAAAGGAAGGACTTGGGGTCCCTGAGGCAGATGGCTCTTTGTTGGGAATGCACACTGAAACCAGGCCCTGTCTTCACTGTGGTGCCTGCCCTACCTTGATGAAAGAGTACAAAGACTTTCCATAGAGCCTCTTGAAGTTTGCCCGTATGTCCAGCATGTCAATTTCTGCTCGGGACACCATCACTCTGATGAGGGTGTTGTCATCAGTGCCCAGGCCCTGAGGAAGGGAGAAAGATCTTGCATCAGTTGATGCTCTTGGTGGTCCAGCAAGACAAGGCAAGGCAATAGTGACTCTGCCACAGTATCCTTTGCTGTATGAGCTGGGAGGCCCAAGGAACATCCTCATGACTTAACTTAGGACGCAAAGCTTGACACAGCCTACCTTTACAACACTTTGTGTCTTGACCAGAAGACAATGCTCTGCCTTTCCAAAGACAGGCTCTGTGCTGCTCAGCCACATATGCCTGCTAACCCCTCCCTCACCCTGTACAAGGCTTCCCTTAAGGGTCTGCTTAAACAGAACAAGCTGTCTTTGTTTTGCTTTTTCCACTTCCTTTCGCTCTTCTTTCCATCCTTTCTTCCTTCCTCCCTCCCTTCTTTCTTTCTTTCCTTCCTTCCTTCCTCTCTCTCTTCTTACTAAGATAAGGGCTTTCTATATAGCCCAGGCTGGTCTCAAACTAAGCAGACCTCCTTTTTCAGCCTCCCAAGAGCTGGAATTTCAGGTGTGTGCCAGCATGCCTGGGTCCAATTTCCATATATATTCTTTTCAAATCCTCCCTCAAGAATACTGAAAATCTACACTCTCCTTTGTATTCCTATAATTGTGGGATGACTTATTGTTGGTGTTTTGTGCATGCTTGCTTTTTTCTTCAAGGACAGATAGTCTTCAAGAGTAAAGAATTCCCACCAGGCATGATGGCACGGGCCTGTGACCCCAGAACTTGGAAGGCTGAGGCAAGATGATCAGAAGTTCAAGGACATCCTCAGCTACATAGAGAATTCCAGGCCTGCTTGGGTGACATGGGAACTTGTTTCAGAAGAACAGCAACAAAACCCTAGCACTTATGTTCCTGGTTTCCTATCCCCCTTGGGGTCCCTGGCAGAGTAACCTGCACAGAGTCCAGCACAGCCCTGAGAACCTAGCTTCTGAAGCTAGAGTGTGCCTCCCTGGGGCACTCTCCCTCCACAAACAGTGTAAACAAACTATGCCTTAGTTTCTCCACATGTAAAACAAGACAGTTTGTGTCCCTGTTTCTGCCGTGGGGATAAATTAATCCATACACGTAATGCCCTGGGAGCAAGGCTCCACACATCACAAGTACACCGAGAACAGCACTCTATAAACAGCAGCAGTATTCAGTGAGGAATACAGCCCAGAATCAAGTTGGACATTCCAGGGTGGAATTCAGGTGGTAAACCTAAGAAAGTGGACAAAAAAAAAAAAATCACAATATTTCAAATGATAAAAGCAAAGCCATTTACCTTCATGGACTTATAAAGCCTTTCAGCAAAATATGCAGGCTTGTTCCTCATGCACTTCACTGTGGAGGAAAAGAACAAAAGAATGAGCACAAGCCACTCCCCTGCCTGCTAGCCCACTCCCATTCCAGGAGCTCTTTCTTCCTCTTAATAAGTTATCTTTGTTTCCATAAAAAGAAAAAAGAGTGGAAAGATTACAGAAAAAAAATCCAAGAACAAAGAAAGCTGACAGACATTCTCTGTTTCTACAAAGTTCCAAGAACTATTTCCTGATTGCTTTGCTAGACCCACTTAAGGTAAGTGTCCAGGAGCTGCAGACCAGCCTGGTCAACTTACTGAGAATCCATTTTTTTTTTTTTAATTCTAGGATGTACCCTCAGTAATTGAAACAACTTTAATTTCAGAAAAACAGTTCTATGTCTTGTGACAACATCTGGGTACTGAGGAGGACAGCAACAGAATTAACTCTGAGGTTTACCAGCTTACCTATAGCCAGCAGGGCATCTTCAAAGCTACCAGATGTTTCAGATTTAATACTCTGCTCAATGTCCTTCTGTGAGATCCTCTTATATTCATCAAACACTAAAATCAATAACAAGGTAGTGTGACTTAGAAATCTGGGTAGTGTGATGAGTCTGCTAAAGGCACTTGCAGCCAAGCCAGAACCCACGGGGTGGAAGAAGAGAAATGACACGTGATCTGTGGCATTTGCATATCATACACATGTACACATGCATGTGGGCACACACACCTATGACACATACACACACTTTCTCTAAATATATAAGTAAACATATAAATAAATGTAATAAAAGTTTAAATGCAGGACACTAAAATTTATGGAGAGAATGAACACATTTTAACAAGTTTATGTTACTTAAATTTTGGCATATTTCAAGAGGAAACCAATTAGTACTGTGTGTGGGAACTCAGGCAGGATGCGGCCTGCTGGACCAGGCCCATTAGGAGGAAGAGTACTGAGATATATGTAGGGCACCAGACCCTGAGAGAGCCTTTGGGTACATTTGCTTTCTTCTTGTTTAAGCACACAGGGTATGGTAGCTCACACCTGGCAGGTGAAGGCAAGATTGGCAGTTCCTCAGTCACCTGAGATCAAGGCCAGCATCAACTACATGAAATGTCAGCCTTGGATGTCACTTATGTACTCCCCTTGCAATTGGCTCATTAAAATGAGAACAATTCAGTCTCCTCAAGACTGAGTCACATCTGGTAACAGTTGGTTGCATCTTTTAATAGATTTTTTCACATAATTAATTTTTTCTTGCTTTTTGCCAAGGATTTTTTTGATGTGTTGAATGTTTCCCTCTCTTCTTCCAGAGACTGCTGTTTTGTTTATCTCCTTAGTGGCCTTCACTGGCATACTGTCTTATCCCCTCCATCCATGTGATTCTCAATTATCAGTCAAAGGGTACCAATGTCCAGCAAATCACATCATCACCTTGGCCCAGCAATGTCCCTCAAAGTAACCTGCCCTGCAATGAGATGGTTTTCTTTTTAATTTTGTGTGGTCAGGCATGGTGGTGCACATCATTGAAACAAGTGTTTGGGAGGTAGAGGCAGGAAGATCTCTGTGAATTTGAGCCCACTGAACTACATAGCAAGTTCCAGGCCAGCTAAGGCTACATGTGAGACCCTATCTCAAAACAAATTGTGTGGGATGTGGTCCAATATGTTTTAATGTGTGTGCATGCATGTGGAAAGCAAAAGTTGGTGTCAGGTGTCTTCTTACTTTTTAATTTATTTTGATAAATTATTTTGAATGTACTCACCACTGCTTATGCCTGCACTCATGCATATAAAGGTCACAGAAGGGTGCAGGTGTCTTCCACTCTCACCCACTGTCTTACTGCTTTAGGACACCGACTCTCAGGAAAGTGGAAGCTCACCATTTCAGTTCGGCTGGCTGGCCAGTGGGCTCCTGGGATCCATCTGTCCCTGCCTTCCCATGCTGGACTTACAGGCACATGTGGCAATACTTGGCTTGTGTGTGTGTGTGTGTGTGTGTGTGTGTGTGTAGTTCAAGCTCAGGCCCTCGAGGCTCCCTAGCAAGCACTTCCCACTGACACTGAACCATCTTCCCACCACTGTATTTTTTGATAGTCCTCACTGCACCTGGAGCTCACCAATTAGCAGACTGGCTGGCCGATGAGCCTTGAGAATCATCCTACTCCCATCTTTCCTGCCTAGAATTACTGCTGCATGCTGGAACCAGCTTTTTGTTTGTTCCCAGGGAGGTACTCAGAAGCAGTTTGATTTCTGTTCTCATGAAGGGTTTCAGATCTCCCTCTAATCTCGAGAGCCACTGGTACATTCCATTTCCCTTTTTGTGGGTTTATGTTTGTCCAGAATCAAAGAAGCTAATCAGACCCCCACTACAAACTGGAATGAAGGCTTCAAGACAGAAAATTATTAACAAAAGCTTAGTTCTGGCCATTATTGTTGGTTGGTAACAAGATTATTCAGTTTACACTACCTAAACAGTGCTTAAAATATTGTCTTTGTAACTTATGAACAAGTAATTTTCTTTCTTTTTTTTTTTTTTTTTTTTTTTTTGTAGTTTTGACTGTCCTGGAATTAGCTCTGTAGACCAGGCTGGCCTCAAATTCACATAGATCCACCTGATTCTGCCTCTGGAGTTCTGGGATTAAAGGTGTGCACCACTACTGTCCAGTATCAACAGGGAATTTTTTTGTTTTGTTTTGAACAGGTCATTTTTTAACTGCCCAACTACAGATAAGGAGTTTTACCATTTCTTAATGAATGCCTCCCAGGACCTGCAATTCTGGGAAAGTGCCACAAGGGGGAGCACACATTATAAACAGGCAAAGGGAGCCAGTAAAATAAAGCATTAGGCCCCAAGTTGCACACTGGTGTATGATTTACGGACAGGAATAACTGCTTATTATTATTATTATTATTATTATTATTATTATTATTATTATTATTACTACTTGCCGCTGGGGAGTATCTAGGATAATTACAACTTGTAAATGTGTCTAACTTTGCAGTTACGTTGTATTTTCAATTTAGCAAACTCATTCTCCTCAAATTCCCCACAAGTTCTGAAACTCCATGCCTCTGACAGGGAGATGGTAGTTTATAAAATTATGATGCCCATGAAGGTCTAAAGAGCTCATCTACAAGAAGAACTGCCCTATTGAGCCCTTACTGCTGTTTATAAGAAGACTCAGCCTGACAACTATATTCTATAATGGCTTAGTGTTCGTTCCCCCCAAAGAAGTTAAAAGCACATTGCAAAGTCTAGAAATTACCAGAAGCAAATTAGGGACATCACACAGAGGAAATAAAAAGTGAAATTACCCATGGCTCGTCTTACTCCCTGAAGAAATCTATCAGTGATGTTAAGTAGAAATAAATATCAACTGACATTTGTTTAAATTGGTCCCTCAGGTAGTTTACTTTCTCATGGAAGTGATGAGAAGTGACTATCTTAGGGCTGTACTAGAAGGACCAACTATGAAGGCTGCTTTCCAGGGATAAGGAATGGTAAATTATTACCAACATGTCGTATATCTGTCAATTACTTAAACTAATCTTTCAAAATTGGCCTTCATTCACATAATTTTACTCCCACATTTACACAGTAAAAATCTAACAGTTTGGTTTGTTTTCTGTATCCTGGTGGGGGAAAGGTCATCACAAACTGGGGGAATACTATGATCAAGACACATTATATACATGTTTGGCATTGCCAAAGAATAAATAAAATATTTTTTGTTATTGTTTTTTGAGACAGGGTTTCTCTGTAGCTTTGGAGTCCAGGCTAGCCTCAAACTCACAGAGATGAACCTGTCTCTGCCTCCCAAGTGCTGGGATAAAAGGCGTGTGATACCACTACCAACAAGATATTCTTTTTTTTTTTTTTTTAAGGTTATCAGGGGCTGTAAAGATGGCTCAGTGGGTAAGAGCACTTGATGCTTTTACAGAGGATCTAGGTTCAGGTCCCCTCACAGAACCCACTTGGTGGCTCACAATTGTCTGTAACTCCAGTTCTAGGGGATCTGGCACCCTCTTCTGATCTCCAAGGACACCAGACATACATTCAGTTAAGACACTCATACAAATAAAATGAATTAATCTTAAAAATTTTAAGACTATCAACCATTTTAGCAGACTTGAGTGAGATGGTGAGGTAGGTACCCACCATGCAGCAGATGGTTCCGATTCCGGGAACAGAGGATGCTTAGGAATTTCACCTCATCTGTCCCCCATCTCTTTTCTCCAGCCTCATACAGGTCCTGGTGCCAAACAGAACATGAGTCTAAACATCAAAAAGATGTGCCAGTACCTGGGCAAATAGGTCTAAAACTTCTAAGAGTTGAGCTGGCTTGGTTTTATTTTATTAGTTGGAAGGGTGAACATGCTGTGTATACACACACACACACACACAAAAAAAACACTATATACATATGCACACATTCATGCATGCATGTATGCACACACTCCGTCCTTCAATTACTTTAACCTCATATTGACATGAAATCAGGCTCCAAAGTTTGAATTTTGATCTTTTCTCTGAGCCAGTCTATATAGTTTGAGCACTTGTATAGCATGAGCCAAGCTCTAGGTTTCATTCCCTGGCAACACACACACACCACAGGTGCGTGCACACAGAAAGAAATATAGCTATAGATAGATAGACAGACAGATAGGTGGATAGATAGATAGAAAGATAGATAGATAGATAGAAAGAAAGATAGATAAAATAGATGATAGGATGATTCTCTGGGATCCTCATATGGCCTATGGCCCCAGTGTGAGAAGAAGACTTAGAATCTAGGAGTGTAGATAGTGCCTTGAGCTGCCCCAAGTCCCATGTATCCCTGAAAGAATCCTGTTGATAGAAGATTTTCTATGGGAGTCTTTTTCATATCACACCTCAGCCTGACTAATACACCCTGAAGTAGAAGAGGCTGCCCACCAACCAAGTAAGGCCTGTCTTAGAGAAGAAGCTGCAAGAAGGAATTTGCAGTCTACTAACCTGGGCATCCTGCTTCACAAGTGCATCATCCAGGTAATTCCCTTCATCCCTGCCACCCTGTGGGTGAAACAGACAAGAGTGATGGAGTACTCATGCACATCACCCAGGTAATTCCCTTCCTCCCTGCCACCCTGGGTGCTCTTAAGGCAGAAGCCTGGAGACAAGATGCAATAAAAGCTGGATCTTCAGGTTAGAGAGTTAGGACTGCCATCTTGTGTCACCAGGGCCTAGACCTATGCCCTGGAGATGTTCCCAGTGGAGTGTGAACCCCACTGTGACTCCTGATGTTTCGAAGTTGTCTCTTCCAGTAGAAGAGCATTAACATCTTTCTAACCCCCCCCCCCATTGACCCAGCTGACTCAGCCTTCTTAACTAATCAGTCTTCATTGGTCAAGAGAATGCTAGACCTGAGGTGGAATTTTTGGAGCTGATGAAATGTCAGTGCCAAATACAGCAGCTCCACCATGGGGGCCACAGGAGCCCCTGAAGGGTACTAATGAGTGATAAGACAGCACTGCCTTCTAGTTTGGAAGACTGTTCTAAAAAAAAAAAAAGATTTTAAAAAAGTGCATGTGTTGTGTATGTGTATGTCATGTGTGTGCAGATGCCTACAGATGCCAGAAGAGGATAGCCAATCTGGATCTGGAGAACAGGTGGTTGTGAGTCATCCAACATGGATGTGGGGTTTATTTAACTCAGGTCCTCTGCAAGAGCAAGAAGCACTCTCAACCTCTCCAGCCCTGCTACCATATAAACATTTGAAACACAGGAAGTTATCTCCCTAAATCCTTGTAATCCAATGCACTTTGTAATAGAGGTGGCTGGCAGGCACATGGGACATGTGACCAGTAAATTAAAGTAGAAGAAATGATTGGGCATGCATACCTAGCCAGGGTCCCTGAAGGAGAAATAAGATAAAGGGACAGAGCAGCCCGAGAATGACACCTGGGGAATGCCCATAATTAGGAGGCTGAAAGGATGAAGGACAGGTTTCAATCAACCAAGCATGCCCTATCAGAAGCTTCGACCAAGGAAGTCACGCACTGCTGTCAGGGACACCAGTACTCGCTGAAACATGAAGGATGTGTCAGAGCAGATGTCCTCTTCAAGACTCCTTCCATATTCTATGAAGAAATTGAAAGTGGGTACATCAGAACAGAGATCTGCCTAGTGCTGTTGCCCTCCAGCAAGCTGTCCCTCCAAGGCAGTATGTTCACTGGAGCAGCTCAAACCAAGGAGCTACCCTGTGCAGGGTTTTCAAAATCTGAACTCTGTGTGGCCCAGTCCTCCCTGAGGGTCTATAAGGAAATGATGGTTGCTGGGGGTGGGGAGGCAATTCCTTCAGTGGTGTCCCAATCAGTAAGGTATCCATGCTCCAGTGGTAACCCTTTACCCATATTCCTGTGGTAACCCTTTACCCATGCTCCTGTAATCAATTCTAATGAAGCTCCTTAAGTCATAAAAATGGCAACAACAAAACAAATGGTAAATACGACCTAGTAAATATGGCTGTCTCTTTAACATGAACAGGATCAAGAAAGCAGGTCAGGAGTCCTCCTTGGTTTCCTTCTGTCTGAGACTCTTCTATGCATGTGTCTGAATGGAAGCTTGTTGTAGAATATTACTTTAACTAGGTAAAGATATATTACATTTGTTTATGCTACAGAATATCACTTTAACTGTGTAAAGACACATTATATTTGTTTCTACTGCCATTGTTAATGATGTAAAGATGTGTTACATTTGTTTCACCTTGCTGGCCTAAGTCACCTGATTGGTCTAACAAAAAGCTGAACAGCCAATAGCTAGGCAGTAAAAGGATAGGCAGGAGTGGTAGGCAGAGAAATTAATAGGAAGAGAAACTTAGAAGGAGAGAAGAGAATGAGGAAGAAAGAAAAGAACATGCCTGGGGCCAGCCAGGCAGCTACAAGCCACCAGCCAGCAGGGTAGGATATAGAAAAAGAAAGTTAAAAAGCTCCAAGGCAAAATGTAGGTTAAGAGATATAGGCTAATTTAAGTTAAAGGAAAAAAGCTAGCCAGATATGAGCCTAAACTAGGCTGAGTATTCATAACTAATAAGAAGTCTCTGTGTTATGATTTGGGAATTGGTTAATGGCCTAAAAGAAAAAGTCTGCTAGAGAAGTTTCACAGGACAGAGGTCCCCAGAGAGGTTCTAACAGATCTTTCTGAAGAATGACACTCTCCATAGCCACCAGAAGCTAATGTGGGCACATGCCAGGGTAAGGGGCTAAGTCTAACTTTAGGTGGGGCTGTGTGAGAAGCATGGAGATTTTTGTGCTCACAGATAAGCATTAGGGCAACCAAGAGTGTAAAACACACAGGATTGTTCCTTCAAAGAAAGGGACACACAACCTATTATCTACCCAGAAGTCTGAGAGCAGACATGGTTAATAGCCTGATGACCTTTGTGCTATCTTTGTGGACAAGACCACACCAGATCCTCCCCAGACCCTTATCATGCGCATGTCAATGTATAGAACTTATCTTTATGGGAGGTGTCACATGTAATCAATCTATAGAACCCATCTTTATGGAAGACATCACAGATACTTTCCAAAGAGTTTCAATGTAGTTATATCTTAAATTTTATTATGCACACAGGGTTGGGTTAATTATGACCAGGAAAATTTTCATCAAATTGTGCTGTGCTTAAATATGGCTAAAATAAATGACTCAGGGTCAAAGTCATGTTGAACCAAATTGCTTTCTTGCCTCTCCTTACTCTTCTGACTGTGGTGTCACAGAGAACCCCCACAGTGCTGAAATCAGGGTTGGGGGGCTAAATCCAAAACTTTCAGGATCAGGAGCTAACTCCAGACTCTCATGGTTTGGGTTCAGTCTCTGAAACCTGCACAACAGTTTTCTCCACAGAAATGATGCATATTAACTCTGAAAACATAGGAACACTAGTGCTGGGGTATAGCTCTGGCCTAGCTTGTAAGAGACCCCAGGGCCCATCCTTAGTGATACATACACATGGCAGAAAACTGAGGAAAAATAAGTAAAATAAAGGGGAGAAAACTCCACCTTAATCTCATAGCTGAGATATTACAATCACCAACCAGCCTTGCTTTTAAGTCATAGACAACCTGACTCCATAGCCTGGAGTGTGACAATATCTTGCTTGTACAAATAAAACCTGTCTGAGGATCAGAGAATGGATCCTTACTAATAGCTAGCTTCTATCCTCTATAGTTAGCTTACTAATAGCTAACTATAGAGGTCTGTACAGACAGACAGGAAGTGAGGTAGGCTGGGCAGAAACAGGATATAAGCAGGGAGAAACAGGAAATCACTCTTTTGTCTGTTGAAATGCTAAGGAGGTAAGGTGTGCTGTGGTTGCTCCTTCTCTCTGATCTCTCAGCATTTCCCTCCATATCTGACTCCAGCTTTTTATTATCTAGACCAATTAATTAAGAACTCCATTTACACTGGAGGATGGTACTCACGTTGCTGGTACATCTGGTTGATGTGCCAGATCTCCTCAGAAGTGCGGGAAGCCAGGATCTCTATCAGACAGCCCTCATCTGTGCCAGCTCCCTAAGTGTGAGGCCAGAGATAATGGTATGAAACAGTGGATCAAGTTAAACAAATAAAACAATATAATTAAGTTTACAACTTAAAAACGGAGTCCCACACTCAGAGGAAGATAGGTATGAAACTCCAGTGTATAAGGCCAATCCACTGGGGTCCAGGAGCAGGGCCTGTTAACTTTTAACTGGCATATCCAAGCCCAGTGTGTTCACCATAATTGTTATTGAACAGCCTGGTTGCCACCTGTTGCTTGTCACAGCAAGTTAGGTGCAGTTTCTGCTTTCTGTGGTCCTGTTCTTTCCTTGACCTCTATGCTCTCTCTCTCTTTCTCTTTCTTTCTCTGTCTCTCTCTCTCTTTCTCTGTCTCTCTCTGTCTATCTCTGTCTCTCTCTCTCTCTCTCAAAGTCAGGTGTCCTGGCAAAACGTTGTTACCTTCATTTCCCAAGAGCTTAGCCCAGAACCTTCTACAATGTGTATTTATTATTGGTAAGAAACTATACTGCCATCTCAGATTCACTGAGATGTCCAACGAGGACAGCTATAAAGGAAGCATACGTAAGGATGCCTGGATCCTACCAGCACCACAGACCAGTTCCTCTTCATTCAGCCCCAGGAAGGAGCAAATGACTCAGCAAACTTTGGAGGTGGACAATTTTTAGATAACATCTGCCATGTATGTTTCAAGGTATCAAGAGGGAAAAACCTGACTCTCACTTTCTCTTCTCCCGCATCTCAGAAGGGCTTAGCTATAGTTCTTTTTCTCCTTTTTTAAGGTTTTATTTTATATGTGTGTGTCTGTGCCTGTGAGTCCAGTGTCCAAGGAAACCAGAAGAGGATGTCAGATCCTTGGAGTTACAGGTGGTTGTGAGCTACCCAATGTGCGCTGGGAAGTGAACAATAGTCCTGCTAGAGTTGTAAGCACTCTTAGGCACTGAGCCATCTCTCTAGCTCTGCTGGCCATGTTTCTGAAGGGCTGCACATCACCATGTGCGCTGAGGACACTGAGTGCAAAGAGGACCACTGACCTTCATAGCCCTGCGCAGCTCCTGCACATCGTACAACACGGTAGGCATCATCATCCCCACAATCACCTGCTCAAAGTTGCTGCTCAGCTCTGACTTCAAGTCATCAATCAGATCCTGAAATGAGAAGAAGGTGCCTGCTTTTATCTGCTATTGTCTCTCATGCCACCCTCTCTATGGTGCAAGGATGTCTTGGGCACTAAGATTCTCTCTGTGCTGTCACCTTACTGGAAGCAGGTCATTTGACATTTCTGCACATCTCAGTCACACCAGAAGACTATTAAAATACTGACTGATTTTCCAATTATCTGTCTAAGATCAGATTTTATTTGACTTCAACCAAAACCACACAGTACAGCAAATAAGAAGAGTGTGGTCATTTTAGAGATATTTGTAAAACAATGCCAGCTTTCTCATTAAATGCTGTTTTTGTTTTGTTATTGTTCTTAATAAATTTTACTTTTGAAACATACCTCCCACCCTCTTGTTTTTTGAGACAGGGTTTCTTTGTGTAACAGCCCTAAGCTATCTGGGAACTATCTTTGTAGACTAGGCTGTCCTCTAACTCACAGAGATCTGCCTGCCTCCCAAGTCTGGGATTAAAGACATGTGCCATCACTGCCCGGCTATTTTTCTCTTTTTATATTTTTTATTGTGAGCCTAGCCTTTAATGGCTGAGCCATCTCTCCAGCCCTATTTTTCTCTTTTTAAAATGTGTAATTACATTCATTTATTTGTGTGTGGAGCTGTGCTCCAGTGCACAAGTGGAGGTCAAAGGACAATCTAAGGGAGAAGGTTCTCTCTCTATCCTGTGGGATTGAACTCTGGCTGTTTAGCTTGGTAGCAAGCACTTTTATACACTGGCCCTACGTTTTTGTTTGTTTGTGTCTAGACATACACACAACATATGTGTGTAGATGTTTGTGTGCAGATGTGAGTGTGTGTGTGTGCATGCATACATAAGCACGAGTGTGTGTGAAAAAGACCAGTTGTCAATGTCTGATGTCTTCCTCAATTGCTCCCTACCTTATTTTTGGGAGACACAGTCTCTCACTGAACCTGGAGGTCACTGATAGGTAAGCTAGGTGGTTGGCCAATAGACCTCCTGTCTTCTCCTTATCACTGGGATTATATGTGTGTGTATGTAATATATATATATATATAAAATATATTATATATATTATATATATATTTCTACCATGCACATTTTATGAGGAATCCACAAATTTGGATTGAATGAATGAGTGAAGGAATGAATTAGAAATTAGACAATCCATTAATACTGTTCACCTTGACTACCATAGATTAGCTGAGTTCTGACGTTAAGCCCAAGTGTGTATTGCAACAGCAGTTAGATGTGTAGCTCACACCTCACTGTGCATTCAGTTCCTGGGGGATGCAGAACAGTTTATGGCACTCTGGAGACAGTCAGTGACAGTCTGTCCTATTCCCTACAGATGCCCAGAGTTCACCCGCAGACACTCTGGAGAGCAGCTAATCAGCTCTGCTCTGCCCATCCCTCCATACCTTGCCTAGCAGTGCCTCAATCTTCCTGTCTGTGACATCTCCCAAGACAGACAGATATCTTGGGTGTGAAGTCACTGATGCTGATTACCCAGATACTTATTGGCTGTTTCCTCAGACTGAGGTTGTCAATAAACATGACAGTTGGGGGTGCTTTGATGTGGAAAGACTGGCCTGAATAATTCTAGTGAAGGGGTTGTTGGAAATGGAGTTGAGACTCATCACGGGCATGAGTTTCAGACAAAAATCTAACACATGCAGAGTGAACAGTGAGTTTATAAGCTGCCATGCATGTGCATGCAATTGTGCAGAAAGCCCCACTCTGGGGTGTGAAGGTCTTTCAACTGAAGTCCATCAAAGGGTGACTATCTAAACGTGTATTTATATGCAGAGGTCACGGCACTAAATTCCAGGAAAGCACAGTGAAGACGAACTAGATGGACTTCTAAGTATTTCAGCCAGGGATCTTCAACACTAGGCCCAAACAGCTCTGCAGGTGCAGTATACCTGGCTCCATAGCACACAACCCACAGCCCTGTGAGGACTTGGGTGGGAAGTGACCCAGCCTGGCCATGAGGCTATGAGCCAACAGCTCCCTAAAATGTGGGGAAACCTTGTTTTGCTTTGAGTTTTGCAAAAATATCCTTTAAAATTTCTTTTCATATTTGTGTGTGTGTGTGTGTGTGTGTGTGTGTGTGTGTGTGTGTATGCGCGCACCCATGAACATGACCTCACATATGGAGGTCAGTGCACAATCCTGTGAAGTTAGTGCTCTCCTACCACCAGGCAGGTCATAAGTATTTAACTCAGGTCATCAAGCTCTGGGGCCAGTGCCCTTACCCACTGAGCTACCATCTTATATCATTGTTTTTAATTGACACACAGTTGTTGTCATACTAATGGGGCCCAGTGTGACATTTCAATCCTTGTATGCAATGTGTGATAATCAAGTAAAGTGACTGGCACACCTGTTGCTTCAGGTGTTTGTCATTTTTTTTTTTTTGTTAGGGACATTCCAAATCCTCTCTACCACTATTGTGAGGTATTTGACTAAGGGTTACCCACAGTCATTCTCCCATGCTACAGAGCCTCAGGAGTTACCCTCTCGTCTAGCTGCTCTCCCATACCTGATGCATCTCCTCTCTTCTCCCAGTCTTCCTAAACTCTGGTAACCCTAACCTCACTGATAGTCTTAAAGCACTGGGCCACTTCAGGAGTCTAGTTTGAGATAGGGGTGGGGTATTCTGCTTCCATTGTACCTGACAAATCCCTGGTCTCCTTAAGATCAGGAAAAACTGGGCCTACCCTGCCGATGTTGCTCTTGTAGGCAGTCCTGATTTCCTGACGTTGGGCAGTGTTGCGGTAGGCCAGGACTCCGATAATGGCATCTTCATCAGTACCTGGGGACAAGATGAAGTCAGCAAGGGACCATGATTTGCTGGCATGAGAAAATGGTCTCCCCTGTGGCCACTGGAGTTACCTCTTAGAGGCTGAATGTTTGCTAAGAAAACAGAACCTAGAAGCAAGAATGACGTCAGCCCTATCACCCAGCAGTCTGGTGGAGGCTGGATATTACTGTGTTTGAAGACTTTTCTGTTTATGGAAGAAACAGCTGGAGTGGGGGGGGTCATAGAAACTGCTCTGCTAAAATACTGTAGGGAGAAAGTTTTGAATGTGTAAGGAATCACAAGTTTAAATATCCGGAAAGGAGAGGTTGGAGGGAGGATCATAGGACTCTCAAATCCAACCTTCAGAGCTCTTTGCATTGGGAGGAGAAGCCCTTCCTGCTTTGAACCCTAAAATTAGCTTTCAGAATAAAAAAAAAAAATGCCCCACCTTCCTCCAGATTCAAATTTCCTTCCAAGCCATGCAAAGTGTGGCCCCACACCTTTGCTGTACTCACACTCAGCTTTTAACTGTGCATTACATGCATTCAAGACTTTTCCATAGGCCTGTAGAAACCTAACTAAATTCTCATATTCTAGCTAGGTTCACTTTTTCCTATAAGAAAAACAAAGCTCACACCTTGCCTGCTCAGAAACTCACAATGACTCCTTGTGGTCAGCTGGGGTCTAATGGGGCTACCATATTGGGTACCCACAGTCTCTCGTTCTCTGGAGAATATATGAATGAACAAGGAGAGTAGGCAGGCAGATTAATAAGCTTAGCTCTCTATTGTTTGTTTGGGGCTTTCCTATGTAGCCCAGGCTGATCCTGGATTCTCAATCCTCCTGCCTCTGCCTCCCCAGGATGGTGATTCCAGATGGGTACCATGCCTAGCTCCAAATCTGCTTTTGAATTGCTCTGCTTTTCCCACTTGCCCTCTTCATGGCTCTTTTGACCCCTTCATTACCAGTCTATCAATTTCTCTGTCTCCTGCAGTCTCCCCATTTAGCACCCTAATTCTGATACCTGTGGTTTCCTGGCCATTGCTTCTGGGCCACCCCTCCAGGGCTATGATTCAATTGATGACTTTCTCAGTAGCATCTCTGGAATCCCCCTTAGGACTTGCCATCTCAGGAAGCTCTCCCTGGCTGGTTCCTGCTTTGCAACTTTTCACTGTGACTCCTCTAAGTTCAACCTTACTTTCAGAAACACATTCTCTCTTCATTACTTATTAAAATTCCACCCACCTCCCAAGACATCTCAAATTCCACACCTCCAAGGTTTGCCTGATGATGAAAGATGATCTCCTCTCCTTGAACCACATTTTTTTTTAAAAACACAGATTCATGCATTCAAGCCTGGCTTCAAACTTATTAAGACCATGAATTCCCTATCTTTCTCCTTTACTAGGGATCAAACCCAGGGCTTTGTGCAGGTTACTACACAAAGTCTACTGACTGAGCAACAGTCCTAGCCCCACAGAGTTCTTACCCATGCCCATTTGATTTTCTTGTTTGTTTGTATGTTTCGTTTTTCAAGACAGGCTTTCCCAGGTAGCCGTGGCTGTCCTAGAATTTTGTCTGTGTATCAGGCTGGCCTTGAACTCACTGAGATCTGCCTGCCTCTGCTTCCAAGTGCTGGGATTAAAGGCCTGTGCCACCACTGCCTGGCCCATCTGATGTTTTACATTTTATTTAATTTTAAATTGTGTGCATGTTGTATGATTGTGCAGGTATCTGCAGAGGCAAACGTTCTTCCACCCCTTGGGCTGGAGTTATGCACAGTGAGCTGCCTGATGTGGATGATGAGAACATAACTTGGATTCCCTGAAAGAACATGTTCTTCATTGCCGAGCCATCTCTCCAGCCCTTCTATACACTCTTAGCCGTGGATTCCTGACCACCAGGAATAGGTTTTATTATCCTTGTCTCCTCCAATAGCTCACTTCATCAGTGCATATCAGCAGTGGAAAAGGCCTGGTTGTGCCAAATGTCTCCTGATTCTTGCTCTGGGAGTTCTGGACACTTTGCTACACTACACACTCTGGACTATTCTGGACTATACTGTTTTTGCAATATACAGAATTAAAAGCAGACCAAAAATGATGGTGGGGTCTACATAAGTGTAGGATGACATTCTTTCAGAGATGGATGGCAGAGTCACAATGCTTAGACCTGCCCTGTGGTGAAGTCTGATGGCTAGAGGTTGCCTACCTGCAGTTTCCCAGCATCCTGCCTCTCACCAGTTCTGATAGCCTGGGGGGTCAACTCAGTTACCTGTTGGCCAGTTACTAGTTTCTTTTTTTTTATTTAATTTTATATAACAAAGTCCAATTAAATGAAAACAAACATTCAGTTACTAGTTTCTTATCAGCTAGCTCTATCTTAATTATTAACCCATTTCTATGTATTTCCACGTGGTCTTACTGAGAGCGGAGGAATGGCAGTTCTGTTCTCTCCAGATTCTCCATCTTGACCCTCCTTACTCCTTCCTCTTTCCTCCTTATCTCCTAGTCCCACCTATCTTCCTTTCCTATTGGCCAACAGTGCTTTATTCATTAACCAGTATGAGAAACATTTACAGAATGACATCTCCCATCACCTCCCTCTACTCCTTCACCTCCCCACACCCTACTTCTCATGAGCAGCCCCTTGGGGTAAAAAGCCAATAGTCCTTGGGAAGCCTCTGCCTTTAGGCTAATATGATGGAGATTGAAAAATACCTGACACTCTGGTCACTGTTATTAGACAGTCTAAGGAAAATGAGTTTGAGATATAATCACTGAGAAACAAGGTCTTGTTGCCAAGAGTCTTTACCCAAATTTCAGAGATTCTCAGTGCTAAGTAGGAACTGGGGATGTGTCTCTTTTCTCATATTCAACAAGAAAAGCCTTGAGGCAGAAATGTGTCCAGGACAGCTGACAGTACAGCTGTTCAGGGCTGTACAACTGCACCTGCCCTCCTGAAGACAACTGCAGGGCCAGGCCAGGGAAACATCATCCCTGCCTGCTCACATACAATTGCTATCTGCATGTCAGCACTGACTCAGCTGCACAGTCAGGGTAGCAGCCCAAGTGTAATGGAGGTGATGGAACATTTAAAAGGTAGAGCTTAACGGGAGGAGGCTAGGTCTTTGGGAGATGTGTTCATAAATCGCTTACTTCAGGTCTCTCTCTCTCTCTCTCTCTCTCTCTCTCTCTCTCTCTCTCTCTCTCTCTCTCCTCTAACTATAATATGAATCAACTTTATTCTTGATGTGCTATCTAATCATAGGTTCCAAATCAATGAACCAGCCAACCATGGACTTGATATCTCCAAAGCTGTGATCCAAAAATAAACCTTCCCCCTTTTAAAGGTATTAAAGGTATTTTAAAGGTATCTATTAAAGTAGCAGGAAACTCACTACTACACACTATCCCATCCAAATTGCCTTGATTGGACAATCATTCTTGTTTGTTTGCTGTTGTTTTGTAGTACAGGGGATTGAACCCAAGGGCCTTCCTTGTGCCTGCTAGGCAAGCATTTTACAAACTGTGCTATATCTCTGGCTATATCTCCAATAAAACTTTCTATAAGGTGAACAATTCATAAATATCAGTCCCTGTGGTGCCCTCCTCATGACTGTGACATACCACACCAGGTACAGTTCACACTCAGAAAGATACTTACCAAGTCCTTTCATGGCCTTCCTCAGGGCCTGGGCATCTTCAATTGCATTGAACCCTGAAGCAGCTTTCACAGTTCCTCCTTTGGTTGCCTGAAAGCACAGAAAACGACATAACTGACAGATTCAGAATCCCAGGCTCTACTCCAGGTATTAGGGCAACAGCAGCAACCATGAAGACTCTCACTCTGGTAGAGCTGCCACCCTTTCTGAGAAAGGCAGACAGTGAGCACACCAACACATGCACATCCCATAAACAGCACGCTAGGAGAGGTGCCACAAAGTGAGTAGAGTCCTGGTGGGCTACAGGAAGGGCTGACATTTAGGCTGAGAGATGGTTCAGACGAGGCACTTGGGCATACAACAATGGAGGGAAGGAGCTACAGGCAAAGTAAATGCTACCCCAAAGGCCCTGGGGCTGTTACTAGCTTTGAAGGAACCAGAAGCTGGTGGAAGAAATCACACCACCTCCTGTGATGCAATCTCCCAGTGGGGGGCATGAATTCAATCAGTTCAAGTCTGTAGAGCAAAAAAAAAAAAAAAAAAAAAAAGCATTAGCTATGAATATAACTCACAAGTAATTGCCAAACTAATAATATAGCTTCTCCAGTGGATAAACTTGCAAAGGAGACTGTGAAGGAGTGGTAGAAGGGAGTGAAGTTCAAGAGGTTAAAAAGACACAGCAGCCAACAGCAGCTAGCACAGTGCTGCAGGCCTGTCACCCCAGCATTTGGGAGGCAGAAGTAGGAGAATCCAGAGTAGTAAATACATGGCTAGCTTCAGCCACATACCTGGTTCACGGCCAGCCTAAGCTAAAGAGATCCTGTCTCAAAACCCAAAGTCTAAACCAAACAACCAAACTCACCCCACCACTAAAAAAAAAAAAAAAAAAAAAAAAAAAAAAAAAAGTCATAGGGCTTAACCTTATTTGAATGGAGGGAGTGAATAAGGAAACATGACAGTTATAAAACAGCTGGACAACTGACATTTTATAACACAGGGAGTCAGTCCTAAGATTCTCCAGTCTGAGATTACATTTTAAGAGGTTTACCTTTATACAGCTGACTCACTGGTAGAAGATAGGTTATCTGGAATCACCTTCAAAATAACTAACGCAGGTGGGAGGAAGTAGAGATAAATAGGACACAAAATTGAGTGCAAGTTAGTAATTAACCAAAGAGATGGGAAGAAAGCAGGCATGGGGACCACTGAAGACAGCCCCTTTCTCATCATCTCTGGTCCCTCTGGTGTCCCTGTTAACACTGGTTTTAAGGGAGAAGGACATATTAAATAGCTTATCTTTAAGATGTAAAGCATTGGATGAAGGACATTTACAGATGGATGAACAGGGGGAAGAGGCAGCTGAGCTGGTTGAGGTCCAGCAAAAACTGCTATTTCCTCCTGGTAAAGATAACTATTTTCAAGTGTACGTGTGTGTGTGTGCATGCATGTGGAGGCCAGAAATTGACACCAGGTGCTACTTCAACTACTCCATCTTGGTTTTTAATTTAAAATTTTATTCCCTCAAAGTCCCAAAGATGACATCAGGCCCTCTGGAGCTGGAGTTAGAAGTGGTTGTGAGCACCTGATGTGGGTGTTAGGAGCTGAACTCAGGATTCTACAAGAGTGACAAGAGCTCTTAACTGTGAGCCAGCTATCTAGTACCATTTTTTTTTTTTCTCTTTTTTGAGCCAGGGCAGGGTCTCTCCCTGAGATCACTGACTGGCTAGACTGACAGGCCAGAAAACCCCAGGGATCTGCCTGTCTTTGCCTATACTTGAGTTACCAGTGTACATTGCTACACCCACTTCTTGAGCTATTTCCATACCTCAAGATGTATACACACACACACACACACACACACACACACACACATACGAGCACTGTAATTACCTACACGCACCTTCCTTTTTTTTTTTTTTTTTTTTTTTTTTTTTTTTTTGAGACAGATAGTCTCTAGTCCAGGCTGCCTGGCCTTGAAATGAGAATGAACCTGAACTTCCAACCTTCCTGCCTCCAGATCCTGAGTGCTGGGATACCAGGTATGAGACAACATGCCTGGTTTTATGGTTCTGGGAATCAGGACGACCAAGAATTCAAGGCCATCCTTGATAACAAAGAGTTTGACGTTGCCCAGAATATACTCAGGCTGCTGTGGAGTTAGAGACCAGAAACAGTAAGGGCTGAGCTGCAGGTGAGGTGTATAGCTGGACAGGGTGAAATAAAAAAGATGGATGCACACTGTCAGACTTCACGCATGTTTTTAAGCAAAGATGACAGAACCTGTTGACAGATTAGCATGGAGGTGGAGACAGACCAAAAAAAAAAAAAAAAAAAAAAAAAAAAAATCAAAGATGGCCTTCAAATTTCAGAGCAGTACTGTGATGCCACATTTATCCAGAGGGGACACCGAGTGAGGACGGCCACATCTGACATGACAGGTGTGAGGTTTAAAAGTTCTACTGCCAAAATGTTTTCTATTAGGCATCATGCTAAGCACCCATGAGAAGTGATCCACAGGGCAAGTCTAGAGGTTCACCTAAAAAATACACATTTATTGCCCAACAGCACTGGATGGGGTTTGTTGAGATCCTTTATGGAGAAGTGAAGTGTGAAGGCAGCAGCGTTGGGACCAGTCTGGGTCTCCCAGCCTGGATACATCCAGCCCAGCAAAGACTGACCAGCCATCAAGCATGACAATGAGAGAAGTCGCCCTGGAGATATAGGAAACCCCTGAGATTCTTGGGAATTCTAGTACTAAAAGGTTTTTGGATGGTTCTCAAACACTAAGTTCAAGTTTAATCTGCATTGCTGATGACACTGTTATAAGATGAAAATCAATTCCAACGAGAGGAATCGATAGAGAAGTTGGCCAGGGTGACTCTATTTACCTATTAACATTATGAGTAACTCTTTCTTATTCTAGAGAAAAGGTCAAGAGCTTTTTTCCCTTCTCAGTCTTATAAGTGTCTGTATTGATCAAATTCCAGGTCACAATGCACAATTATCTTTTCAAGGAAGACGGGGGGGGGGGGGGGGGTATGTCCATCTACACCAGGAAAGTTTGTGGTAGCAAAGGAAACATCACTATCCTGATGTTTTGTTTTCATCAACTTGACACAAGTTAGAATAATCAGAAAGGAGGGAACCTCAATTGAGAAAATGCCTCCATGAGATCTGGTTTTAAGGCATTTTCAATTAAGTGATCATTGGGGGAGGGCCCAGCCCATTACAGGTGGTGTTATCTCTGGGGTGGTGACCTCTGCAGCATCTCCTGCCTCCAGGTCCCTGCCCTCACTGATTTCTATAATGAACTGTTATATGGAACTGTGAGTGAAATTAACCCTTTCCTCATCAAGTTGTCTTGGTTATGGTGTTTCACCACAGCAATAGTGACTTTAACTAAGACAACCACATAGGAATGACAAATGAACACTAGAAACGGGGTCCATGCTACAACGGAAGAAACGTTATTGTGACTACAGGAATAGGGAAGATGTGAGATGAGATGGAGCAGAAGATAGACGATGACCACGGCTGAGCACTGAAGGACAGCAGGTACACTGGAGAAAACGGTGCTCAGAGGGAGAGGTCCACATTCATTCTGACTCAGTTGTCTACCAATTCAGAAACCTCTCTGAGTGGCGACAGCAGATGGGCCAGCCTAACGTAGCCCAAAGGCCCAGCTTCTACCTCCATGCTACTTCACTGAGCTCCCAAAGGGACCCAAGCTCAGGCCTGTGCTAAAGACCAGATCACTATGTCCCAAGAAATCTGACTGCAGCTGTGAGAAGGGGGCAGATGGTAATTGGGGACTGCTAAGAAACATCCCTCTAGGGCTGGCTCAAGATGCTCAGTAAGTATAGGGCTATTGTCACCTACCCCATGATGACCCGAGTTGGATCCCTGGGACACATGTAAAGACAATAGAGAACTAATTCCACAAAATTGTGCTCTAACCTCCCACACAGGGAGCATGTGCTCTCTTCCCCAAAATACAAAGGAAACATCCCTCTTGGCAAGCCTAAGATGACAGAGCTATCCCAAGTGATTCCCTGCTGCGAGTAGAAAATGGCTTTCCTATGAACTAGCCTTGTTATTCTAAAACAAACAGTTGTTTTACAGAGAGGAAAACATCATTTGTTTCTATATTCTCTGGACATTAAACATGTGAGGGAGTCTGAGAATTGATTTTCAGATCAAGTCACCACTTTGAAATAAATCTAAATGATGTTAAAAAGAAAGAAAGAGAGGAAGAAAGAAAGGAAGGAAGGAAAGAAGGAAGGAAGAAATAGCAAGCCAGGCTAGGTGGCACACACCTTTAATCCTAGCACTTTAGAGGCAGAGGCAGGCAGATCTCTGAGTTCTTGTCAGTATACATAGTGAGTTCCAGGACAGACAGGGCTATGTAGAAGGATCCTACAGAGAAAGAGACAGAGAGACACTCACTCACACACACACACACACACACACACACACACACACACACACACACACACACAGAAAGAGACAGAGAGATGAGAGAGACACAGAGAGAAACTACTTGCCTGCTTCATATCTTCCCTGCCCACTGCTGAACAAACAGAGCTTTGTTTAAACCACCAGTCCCTAAGTACACATCCTGTGCCTGCCTGTGGCTGGCACCAGATGGAGTGAGGCACTTACCATGTCTATAGGTCAAGTTGAGAATTCAGTCACCCCAGTAGAAGCTCCTATGAGAAAAAGCAGAAGAGAAATTACTATGACCAGGGATGTGGCATTAATGCTAAGTTAGGGCAGCGAGTTTGCATGAAGCTGAGCCAAGAGGAAATGATACATAAATTCATCAAAAGGTCACCTGTGAAGAAGCCAGAGGTCCTGGACTAGGCTAATCATTAAAGAGAGTTGAACAGTTGAGTTTATTGTGCCAACAGCAGCTTTCTATTTGCTCTTGTGTTTGGAGGTGTGTACTACACCTGTGCTGCTGTTTTGTTGGGGTGAAGTGCTGTAACTGATCCTCAGGACAGACAGAGATTCTGAATCTTACACTACTGCAGGTCAGAGCAGAGTAGAGAAGGGACAAGAGATCTCAACCAGGAATCTACAGCACTCAAGACTGCCCAGGATGTCTGCACATATGCCTGCATGTGTATGAATGTGTATGTACCTACATCACGTGTGTTCCTGAATTTGTGTACATGCATGAGTCTGCATAAATATGTGTAAATGTCTATGTGTCTTGACAGCCCACCCAGCATTGGACTCTTCGTTTCCTAGATGCTATTTTTACTGCACCATCTCAGGACTAGAAGGACTTTCCCTCATTGACACATCACATATTCACATTTGGTCTCTGTTTTCAGTGCCCCCTTCTTCATCAGGAAAGCTTGTGTGCAAAAATTTCCCTATGTGCTCCCATCCTTGTGAGGAACAGGCCTACTGCTTCCAGTTCCCATCTAAGTGATGTGCACGTGGCACCTCGACACTCAAAGAGTCTTCCTGGAACCAATGATTAAGACATCTGGGAGCTTGTGAAAAATGCAGAATCAGCTGGATGCAACATGATTGTACTCACAGAACTCTGAGGCCGAGGCAGACAATTGTGAGCTCAAGGCCAGCCTGGTCAACACAGTGAGACATGGCTGTAAATGTAGCTCAGTTGGTAGAATGCTTGTCTACTATGCAGTAACCTCTGGGCCAGAGCCCCAGCATGGAACCTACTCTTGTGACAGGCAGCTAAGTATCAGCTAATCACAAGCAGCAGCTGTTCTACCCAACTTCTGATAAGACAGTTGAGACTCTTATACCTCCCTTCCCTTTTTCTGTACATCACTCCCTTTCCTTTCTTCTGGTTGTAGGGAGCCGTCCCTGCATTCTCCATTACAAGATGGCGCCTGCATCCGGCTGGCGTTGAGAATAAACAAGTCAGTGCGCAGGTGCAGGGTGATTTTCCCTCCCTTGGCCTCTGCCTCTCCCATGGCGTCATATGGGCCGATGGGCTGCAGCCAATCAGGAGGTGACACGTCCGAGGCGAAGGTTGTAAACCTATATAAGGGTTGGGTTTTGGATGTTTGGGGTCTCCGCTCTGTAAGCTTATGCTCTCCCTCTCAAGATGCATTAAAGCTTTACTGCAGAAGGATCCTGAGTGTGCTGCGTTCTTGCTGGCGAGACGGTAGCGCGGGACACTGGTTTTAAATAAAACCTGGTGCTGCAGAATTTGTGTTCTGACCATTTTGATCTGGGCTCTGGCCTGGGTCCAGGATCATAAACAAAGTCCATTAAGATCTACAGAGCTAGGTTCATTGCTATTTTGTCTTTAACATGGAGGTTATTATGATTAGGATACCAGGAAGGAGCAGGCCCGATAGCATAACCCAGAACCACCTCTGAGGAAATGCCATCTACGCTGAAAGAAGAGCTCAGGTTGACCTTGAACTCCATCTATATAGTAAAAAAATGAGTTTGATTTTACCCTCCTGGCTCCACTTCCTGAGTGCTGGGATTACAGACCTACCCATGCCTCCGTTCATCTGCTGCTGAGGATTGAACTCAGGGCTCAGTACATGCTGGGCAGGCATCCAGCCCACTGAGCTGCAGTCCCAGCTTAGCTGAACAAGGCTCTACTTCTGGGCAGAGGCAGTCTCATTAAGTTCCAAGAGGTCTCTTCCAGGTAGAGGAAGAGTTGTGCAAAGGCCCTGAGGCAGAAATGAGCTAGTGTGGCCAGTGATTCTGTAGGTCCTAATAAGACAACCACAAAAGGGAGGGAGCATCGGCATCTGCTATACCTGCCTTCTAGACCTGCTTCTGAGATAAATCTTTTCTAAGGTACTGGTGATTAATTCGGCAAACTCTTGGCCTAAGTTCTGCAAGCCACTCCAGCATTCAAACACAAGGGAACTATGGGATCCCCTGGTTTATTGTCTGTGGGCCAGAAGCACTTCCTGGGCTTGGGAGTGGCATCCGAAGTAGGCAGTGTGGTGGGACAGAGCCTTCAGCTCTTAATAGTATTGGAGCAGAATTAAGGTGAAGGGTACCCACTTGGAGCCAAGAAAGAACTGAAAATTGCTTGGTGTGGGAAACCACCACCCCAACATCTGGTTGCTGGCACTTGACTGGCAGGCAGAGTCCCTTAACTATGGAGAATGGAAGGCCTCAAAACATTCTCAGAACCCAGGTCTCTGGCCTTCTCCTGCCCTCTGGTCTCTTCCCAATTTGACTTTCCCAAAATCGGTCATGGAAACCAGGCTTCTAGAGCTCTTCCCCTTGAGTAAGCCACAGGGCCTAGAATGTTGAGTTAACCTTTTCCTATATTTCTTTGTAGAAGCTGGCCATAAGGAAAATCTCTTATCTCTCTTGTTTGACAGTAAATCATGGGACTCTCATTGCAGGTGGCTCTTGCATGACACTCAGGAGAAAGGAATGCACAGTCCAAGAAGAATCCCAACAGAGGTGTTGCTGGCCCTCTGCCTCAGGTAACCACTATTGGGTCAAGCCTTCTGTTCAGTAGTCTTTCCACACATCTATACATTCTCCACAGAACCTAAACATAAAGTCAGAAGTTTCCCCAGGCCTAGTGCAGTGACACACACCTTTAAATCCTACCACTCAGGAGGCAGAGGCAGACAGATCTCAATGAGTTTGAAACCAACCTGGTCTATACAGTGAGTTCCAGGACAGCAGGGCTACACAGTGGGGCCCTGTTTTTAAAAAACAAAACAAACAAAAACAACTCAGAATTTTCCTTGGGTGTTCAGGGTCTTCATTTATGAAGACTTGTTTCTCCTATAAAACTTTCATTAAATAAATGTTAGCTTTTTATGTGTTAAACTTCTTGTTATTGTACTGTTGGCCATATTACACCTTTCTGTGCTAAATGGCACCAGATGTTAAGGTCAGGCCATCTTGAGTTACATGAGGTTCTGTATCTACACATGAAGAGGTGCTCACTTGTGATCCCAGTACTAGGGTGACAGAGACAGGCAGATATCTGGACTCATTGGTTAGCTAGCCTCGTCTACAAGGCCAACAAGAGACCCTGTCTAAAAAAAGGGAGGAGGGGGTGGTCAGTTTTAGAGAAACAGCACAAGAGTTTGTCACACACAGTGATGTGTGGTGGTGATGGGAGCTGAATTAAAGAAAAAGACTTGGAAGCAGCTTGGCTGCAAACATCAGAGCCACCCCTGGGGAAGTTATCCTGGGATGGGATGAAGCATGATGAAAACTCTGCTCTACAGACTTCACCATGTAGGAGGGGGGAAGGGCCAAGAATCCACTGACACCAGGGAGTGCAGTTTCATCTTGCCCGTGGGCACCCTCAGCTGTCTGAACCCTCACTGAAATGGGCACTAATGGCAATGGTCTTGGGGCAATGCCTTTGGTTTGGAATGATTCAGAGAAGAAACACACGTTTGTATTGATCTGAGACCCACTGCTTGCTGTGGAACTATTAAGAAGATATCCATGATTAGACAAACAGATTTTCCTGAGGGAATACCAGTCTGGTGGACTGCTTTGAAGCCACCGTGAGGCCTGATTATTCTGAGAAAGGTAGACAGTCCCTCTCCCCATGTAAATATCAGTAGAACACAGCAGACAAAGCAACTGCTAGGTTGTGTATGCAAGCCATATGGGCCCAGCTTCATGATAACCAGGATAGTCACCAAGCAGAGCCGCTGCTTGGAGTAGGGTGTGCATGTCTCTTTTTAAGAACACAGGGTCTCTAGCCTAGGCTCCATGTGTAGTTTGGGATGGCTTTGAACTCCTGATCCTTCCACTTCCTTCTCTGACATGCTGGGGTTACAGGTATACACCTCCACGGTTGGTTTAATAGCACTGGGCACTAAACCCTAACCCTGAACTACATTCCCAACCTGCGAAGCACATCTCTAAATGGTTATTTTAAAATAAAATGAATAAGTGGTAACAAAATGGCTCAGTGGGTGAGGGTGCTCGCTGCCAAGTCTGATGATCTGGGTTTGATACCTGGGACACATATAGTGGAAGGAAAGAACACCCTCCATAAGGCAGCTTCTGACCTCCACATTCACACTAGGACACATGTGTGACCAAACACACACACACACACACACACACACACACACACACCATATGGGCAAAACAAATCAATATGTAATTAAAAGATAAAGAAGGTGAAAGAAACAATATAAATGAAGGCAAAACCAAAAATCACAAGCAGAGCCTTCTGCCACTACCCTGTGCCACTCCACCCGAGGAATCCGGATGTGCATCCCTTCTAAAGGATTCCACCAGGAGTTCAATCCAGCTGTTATTGCCACCATTTAAGTTAGGAGCAGATGGCAAGTAAGGGAGCAGGGAAGAAGGACACCTCCCAAAAAAGCAGGGAGCCAGGACTAGGAACTTCTCCATAGCGTCCTACTCCATAAGAAGTGGGAAACACCAGAGCCATGTCTTCTGGGGGTCTTGAGAGTCACCGCTCAGGGAGCCAGGGAGAGTTTACTAAGATGGAAAACAAGAACAGAGTCTTAGGCAGACAGTTTATGTGGAGCTGTGGACAGCATGCATGGTAGGCCTATTTACTTAAGATAACCGTTGTGTCTCCTTACCAGTGCCAAATGTGTGTCTGCATAGGTAACAGAGTGTGGAAATTACTGCCTTTGATTCTTTCAGAGCTGTGGATAATGTGAAACTAGTCTACTAACCTGCTTTCAAACAGTGTCAGGCTCCTAGCAA